GTGGACATGATGGAAGGATGCAGAAAACAGCCATGACGTCACGAAGCACCATGTGGCGGGGAGGGGCAGACACGGGGGTGTGCACTTACCTCCCATCTACAGATCCCCTCTCTAGTGCCCTCCACCCCCAGCACTGGGCAGCTGGAGCTGCAGCAGACATGTTCCCCGTAAGCTCCACACACACCGGCCCGTGCAGTCACTTAGGCACCAATGTATTTATATAAATGTACATTAATGAAGACTACACGCTAAACTCTGAACTTGAGCAGCTTCACCCTGAGAAACTCTTTATTCGCTCGTTCATTCCAAAAACATGGGCTCTTCGGTTCTCTGGCCAAGGCTTCAGCGAGCTGCTCATTGCCTGTGGGAATGGGGAAGGGGTCCAGAAGATGCTGAGAGGTGACAGGGAGAGGCGCAGGAGACTGAGAGCTGGGGATTCGGGCCTCATCAGGGGGAGGGGGGTTGTGTCAGCTTCACTTCACCTCTGAACGGCACACAGAGTGTCGTGTGTGCACACGCACGTGAACGCGTGTGTCCCTGTGAGTGTGTACATAATCTATACAGAGTGTATATGTTTAGTAAATTTTCTAGGGTTCATTAGGTTGTGTGGGTCCATTTATTTTAACTAGTCCTTTAGACTCCTTTTATAAAGCTCTGGGTTAAAAGAACTCTCCAAAGCATTAAGCAAAAGAAGTCCTAGAAGCGAAATGAAAGCTCTGGTGCCTGCTATGCTCTGAATGCTGGTCTTCCCACCAAATTCATGTGTTGAAAGCTAACCCCTGAGGTGATGGTACTAGGAGGTAGGGCCTTTAGCAGGTGATTAGGTCATGAGGGTGGAGCCCTCATGAATGGGATTAGTGCTCTTTTAAACGGACCCCAGAGAGCTCCTCAACCTTCCACCAAGTGAAGCTACAAGGAGGCGGCCGTCTGCAAGCTGGAAGAGGGCCCTCACCAGAAACTGACCGTGCTGCACCCACCCTGATCTGGGACGTCCAGCCTTCAGAACTGTGAGCAACAAATGTCTGCTGTCTACAGCCACCCAGTCGATGGTATTTTGTTACAGCAGCAAGAGTGGATGAGACAGCACTCAAAACAGGAAGAACAAACAACCTGGGCCCCAGCACCCAGGAGGTGGTCAGTTCACAGGAGCCATGTGAAAATGGACCAGACACACACCTGCATATTGCAAAGGTACACCCACTCACAAAGGTGTACAGAAATACATAGGGAAGCTTTTGGGTCACTGTCTTTTTTTTTTAAATGGGATCATTCTACATGGACTTATGGCCACCTTGACTCTTCTGGCTCAAAAATACCTGCTGGGAATCTTTCTGAGTCAACTGGTTTGGCTCCAATTAATTCTTTTAAGTAGTTGCACATATCAGAATATGGATGTGCCATAATTTATTCAAACTTTCAGCTGCTGATTAAGTTCACATAATAGCCACGTTTTATTTTCTTTCCTTTAAAAAAAAAATTGCAGACAATGCTACAAAAAAGATGCTTATGCAAATATTCCTAAGTGCTGGCGCTTTCATTTTTATGGACAAGATTCCCAGAAGCAGGACTGAAGGACAAGCATTTTTAATTTCAACAGGTGTTACCCAGATGCTTTCCGAAAGGCCGTAACACTTCACATCTCTATCACCCGTACCTGAAAGTCCTCTCCCGCCATCACTGCCAGCAACAGGGGCTATTACTCTTTTAGATGTTTGGCCACTTTGTGGGTATCAAGTGGTATATCCCTTGTCTGTGAACTGCCTCTTCAGCCCCTCCATCCATCGTTCCTTTGGATTTCCCAACTTCATACCCCTAAGAGGGACATCATCTTGTTCTTGGATTTTTACTTTTTATTTTTTAACATTTAAATCTTTAATCCATCCATCTATTCTTTATAAGATAGGGGTTCAACTTTATTTCTTCCAGATGAATCTGCAGTTGTGTCAACACCATTTATTGGATGAACTATACTTTTCCCATCACCTCTGTCAGCCATTCTACCGTATGTTTCCACAGTATTTTCTGTACTTTTCTACTGGCCTCTTTGTCTATCCTCATGCAATACCATAATAATTTGATTATAGTGGCTTAAAAAAATGTTCCCTTTTCCATGTGTTCCTTGGTAATTAATTCTTGGTCATTCTTTTCACATAAACTCTAAGATTATTTTATTCAGTTAAAAAAGACATTGCTGAGATTTTCAATGGAGTTGTGTCCCATTTAAATTCGAATACTGGGAATGGTAGAACTTTCCAGATTGCAAGTTTCCCACCCAAAGCCAAGGTACGCACTTCCAGCCTTTCTGTCCGCCGCTGAGGATTTCACGGCTTTCTTTTCCTGGGTCCCGTGTGTGCAGAGAGGACTGGACATTCACACTCAGACCGGTCAATGTGACGGCTCCCCTCGGGGACCTTGGATCCCCTGCAGCTCAGGCTCTCCCTGAGAACCCTCTGCTTTCAGGCTTTTGTTCTGGCCCAGCCCGGGGGTGGGGGGCCAGGGAAGAGCCCCTCCAGAGTGTCCCTCGGGCAGCGTGCAGGCTCCACCTGTCCATCGGCCTCCAGTTAAGAGGCAGGGCTAGCACTGGAGCAGCTCTCAGAAGAGAGCGGGGTTGTAACCCCACCTCCTCCCAGCCCTGTTTTCATCACTATCACTTATTTTTCCTTTTTGCTATATACTAAAATCAGAGAAAAATGAAAGGTTTCATCAGTGGTTAAACTAAGTCTAAACAGAGTAGCCTCATGCCACCACATGTCACGTCCCTGTAAGTGACATTAAAGAATATGAATCATTTTATGATTCATCGCCCCTGGTGATCAATTCCAGGTACGCAAATATATTTTAATTTTGTTTTGCTCACAATGTGCTAATAAATATAGGTTACAGATCATTCAGGCTGTTCCTTGGGTCAACAGCACCATTACTACTTCTAGTTTTATAAATAAGAGGAGCTAAATACAGCATAAGGCATTGCAAAGTAAGTTATCATATGTAGTTTGACATCTTATCTATCTCAGAAGGCAAAGACGCCCCGGGCTTCTGCGTTAGGCCAATCCACATCCAGGCACGTCTAAGGTGCTAAGTCAGACTATCTGCATGTTGAAGAAAATCTGGGTGTGATGCTGCGACTGTACCCAGCTTCTTACACCTGCCCTAGAGACCCTGTGGCAGGGAGGGTAAGGGCAGGGACCCTGGAGTCAGCCGGACCCCGTGGAATTCACCTGAGGTGGCCCTGGCCTGCACAGAGGAATTAGGCTCCTGAGTCTCAGTTTCCTCAAAAGGACACCCACAGGACTGCCGTGACGATGAGATTAAATAAGGGAGGCGTGCACCTTGTCAGGCACGGGGCTCAGCCAGTGGCAGTCGCCGTAACTGATGAAAACTTAACTAAGAGCCGGACCCCTCATCACTAAGCCCCAAGCCCCCGACGGGGAAGCTGCGAGAGTGGCCTGGAACAATGCCGCATCCCTTCCTGGCTAAATGGGGACCCTCGTGGCCACCAGAAGGAGACCCTCCAGTGGCCAGCCCCCCGCCCCCCCAGCATGCTGCCTCGGTCCCGACACGGGCCCTGCGCCTGTCAGGCTGCTGCTACACCGTGACGCCCCCAACAGGCCAGGACTGGCCCCAGGATCCTCGCCCGGCCTTGCAGGATCCATCGGAGCCGCAGGAAGGCTCCTGACCCCGCTGGCTCCTTCAGTTCTAGGCACTCTCTAAGGTCCCTTCCACGGTCTCTTCTCTTTTCATAACTTGCCTTTCTCTTGAGCCATATGTGTTATTTCCCTAACCAGGAGGACAGGAATTAGTAGCATTTAAGTTGACAGGGGCGGGTTGGTCCTTGGTACTGATATTAGAGACACTGGTCAAGTGGATGAAGGCCCACCCTCTCCTGTCCCATCCTTTTCTCTGTTTTGAAAACTGCATTATAAAAGGTCTGCAAAGATTGCCATAGTTATTCAAACTTCGTACATCAAAAAAGGGAGAAGTTTGCGAGCGACTTGAAGGGCCGGGGAAATTCCTGCTTACTAGGGGTCAAGGAGGAATTTTAGGATCCTTGGAGTAGATGGATGATGTTTCACGCCCACTGGGAGTTGCTGGAGACCGGCGAACACAGAACCGTCCAGAGAAGCAACAGCCTCGGCACTGCCTCTGTCACCGGCCGGGAGCCCGAGACGACAGCTGTCCAGCAGTCGGCCCCTCCTACCCCCGACCCGGGGAGCAGAGGAGGCAGGACTACAAAGGTCAATGGAATCACAGTCCTGGACCTGCATCCCGGCCAATGAGGAGAAAGTGAGGGAGGGGCAGTCGGGCTGTAAATGAACTACCTTTGGCCCTGGACCGTTTCCTCGTCCCTTCTATAATAAAGGCTCAGCAGCCATTCAAGCCAGTTGACAGTCTGCAGGCAAAATGATGTCATTCCAGTGTGGGTAAGAAAACTACTCTGCTTTTTCCCAGGTTACAACTGGCTATACAACTGGCTACTACGTAGGACTGTCTCCTTTAATCTTCTTTTCCCCAAGTCGAGTGAAATGCCTGCTTAATAACTTCCTGCCCACCCATCACTCACACAGAAACTCAGTGTTCTAAGAATAATGGAGAAACACCACCACTGCCAGACTTAGGATCAAAGCCTAATGACCGCAGAAGCAATTTGGGGAACATTTTTAGGCTGGATATATTCGGAGGGAAAGTTCACACAAAACAGAACAGATATTTAATTAAGCTTTAGAATTCTGGAACAGTCAATGAATATAACCAAAAGTATACTACCTCTGAAATTATAAATCCTAAAACCATTTTAAAGCTATTAATTTCAGAAAAGAGAAACTAGAAACCAAAGCAGCAAAATACCTTGCTTCTCAACAATCCATTTTCTCCATTTATCTTACTGCTCTCCCCCAAACTCCCCTTCCCCCCAACCGGCTTACTAGCTCCTTACAGAGATTACAGGCAGGAAATGACATTGAGTGCTTTTAATGATTTCTTACCTTAACTATGCTGATAGGCTTTCGAGATAAGTGAAAACTTGCATACAGCAAAAATGTCAAAATAAAAATGAAGGCTCTGTACCTGAAACACAAAACAGTGGAAGGGATGACATAAAATAATCTAAGATGCTATATGATCCAGCAACCCCACTCCTGGGCATACACCCAGACAAAACCGTAATTTGAAAAGATACATGCACCTTATGTTTGTTCATAGCAGCACTAGTTACAATAGCCAAGACATGGAAACAGCCTCAACGTCCATCGACAGATGAATGGATAAACAAGATGTGGTACATATATGCAATGGAATATTACTCATCCATAAGCTAGAATGTAATAATGCCATTTGCAGCAACATGGATGGGCCTAGAGATTATCATACGAAGTGAAGTAAGTCAGAAAGAGAACAAATATCATATGATATCACTTATATGTGGAATCTAAAATACGATACAAATGAACCTATCTGCAAAACAGAAACAGACTCACAGACATAGAGAACAGACTTGTGGTCGCCAAGGGGGAGGGTTTGATACATAGCTTTCTGAGGTCACCATGGGTACTGACACCTCCTTGGTAGTGGGAGGGGGAGGGGGAGGGGGAGGGAAGGATTGGGAGTTTGGGATTAGCAGATGCAAACCACTACATAGAGAATGGATAGACAACAAGGTCCTCCTGTAGAGCACAGGGAACTACAGTCAATATCCTGTGATAATCCATAATGGAAAAGAATATGAAAACGAACATATATATATATAAAACGAACATATACACGTATCACTTTGCTGTACAGCAGAAATTAAACACAACGTTGTAAATCAACCATATTTCAATTTTAAAAAAAGGTGCATGAAGAATCCATTACAACGGTATTCTTAAATTTCCTTATGCTCTATGTTTTTTACTCAGTCCTACATCAAAGTTCAATCCTGTTTATAACACCACTACAATATTTTTAAAATGTGCCACTTTTACTTTGTTAATCGAAACTATTTAAACCATCATGAGAAAAACGAATCAAAGAGAAACCTGGGACACAGATGTACACATGGGTTTACAAAGCAGACAAAAAGAATGATGATTTAGTTTGTAACAGAATCAACTGCAAGCGACTTATAAGCCTGCTACCCTGGGCATTTAAGATCATATTTATTTTTTACTTTTTAGAAGGACACAGCAAGGCAGAAATATAACTATTTCACCAGCCTCAGTGAGAACAACTCAGTTGTTCATAGCTGACAACTCAGTTATTCATAGCTGACAGGCTATGAATAAGGCCAATGGCATAAAAACTATTGGCCCAAAGCCCTGCTGCTGTGCTTGGTTTATGAGAAAAGCAGTTCGAGAGGAAGTGCTGAGGTGTATGGAGACTACAGACAAGAAGATACTTTAGCAAGAAGATGAAAGTTCATTCAGGTCTAAATGTGATTCTAAATGTTTGAACCACCCTATAGAAAAGCGGCCCTTCGGGGAAGACAACGGGTCAGGAGGAAAAAGTCCTTGCGGCCCCTAACCCTGAAGAACCCGTCCTGTTCTGGTCTGGAAAGGCCAATGACCTTCCAACTGCGTGCCGGCTTAAACCCATAATGACCCAAGGTGGAGGCCGGGCCGACAGAACAGACAGGGGCTTCAGGGGGGCCACGGCCCACGGGGAGGCGGCTCATTCAAGGCCCTCGATGAGGAGAGGACCTTCCTCCTGTCTCTCACCCACATTTCCAATGTTGTGATTTACTTCTCAAGGGTAGCTTTCTGGACTAACACGAAGACTCCTGAGGGTGTCTGGCTCCCTGGCCACCAGAAAAGGCAGGAGTCAAATAAATATTGCCAGCTTTTTAACAAAAGGTCATATTTCAGGTGGGAAAAAAGGCTTGGTAGTACTGTGGGACTCAAACTGTCAAACCTCTGGAACACCTGTGCTTAGCGAGGGCACACCACACTGACTTCATCAAGGAAACATTTACTGATGGTTTTCCTAGGATTCTTTGCTCTTCGAGCCCCTGCCAATGAGCAGGTAGGAAAAAAGTGAAACTATAACCAAGTGAGTGTGTCGTCTATCGCAAAGAACACTGACTGTGCAAGTACAGTGGACCTGTGACAAAAGTCTAGGCTTTTGTCCTTGTGTTTCTGAAAGTTACCCGTTTTGGTAGGGGGTGGAGGTTTCTCAATTCCTTGCTGGAAGCTCTCCGCATCCCACCCCCTGCTCCTCTGCACCAGCTTATGAAGGTTCTAGACCAGTGGAACTTTCAACACCCGAATTTCCAGTCCATAGCTAGACTCACTGGTTGCTTGATGCCCACTTGCTAGGGCTAGTGTGGACTGTGGGGGACCCCAATTGGCCCCCATCTGAGTACAGAGCTCCTTTTTCCCATCTCCACAAGGAGTAAGAAAATATTCTCAGTCTGAGTTACCTCCAGCCCCTCCCAAATCAGAGTCTGAGAGGATTTGGAGCCCTCAAGGATGCTACATACAACCAGCTTACAGGTGTGCCATCGGCCAGGAAACTCTGAATTTCATCATCACCCAGCTCACAAGGATTTGGAAAGAGCAGGTCTACTTAAATGGGCCTTGGGGGGGCTTCCCTGGTGGCGCAGTGGTTAAGAATCCACCTGCCAATGCAGCGACACGGGTTTGAGCCCTGGTCCGGGAAGATCCCACATGCCGCGGAGCAACAGAGCCCGTGCGCCACAACTACTGAGCCTGTGCTCTAGAGCCCGCAAGCCACAACTACTGAGCCCTCATGCCACAACTACTGAAGCCCGCGTGCCTAGAGCCCATGCTCCGCAACAAGAGAAGCCACTGCAATGAGAAGCCCACGCACCACAACGAAGAGTAGCCCCCACTCGTCGCAACTAGAGAAAGCCCATGCACAGCAACAAAGACCCAACACAGCCAAAAATAAAATAAATTAAATAAATAAATTTAAAAAGAAAACGGGCCTCAGGTTCATGGTCTCCGCTCTCCACCCAGAACATTCCACTTATAAATATTCTAGTTTTATTAAGTGCATTTAATGTATCTATTAAATAGAATAAATAAACCTCGAAATAACGAGCTCGTCCATATGCCTCGATCAGGTCTGAAGGCCCCTGGGGCCCTAACACACCTGCATTCATTCCTAGGCTGTCAAGCTGTCCAGGTTATTGGAACCCAGCGGCCATTCCCAGGCCCTCGCCTTCTTGTCTAGCGGGTGGTCTTGCATGGGATGCTCACCTGCCCAGAGCCTGCAGGGGCGGAAGCCGTTCCCATGACCGCCCCGTGCTGGGCGATGCCACACGCTGGAGCACAGCCACGGAAGCCCCGAGCACACGGAGGGCTACAGAGTGGAGAACTCACCTCCAGACATTTTCGGTTCACTTTTGGGTGGAGGTGAAACACCTTGATGAATCAGGCCCTTTGGGAAGAGTACCGGCCTGCCGGTTAGCAGGGTTCTCGGAGGGAACCCGCTCTGCAGAGTCAGGGCAAAAGGTCAGCCTACCCTGCAAACCGGGAGTTTCCTAGACACGCACAGAATGTATGTCTCCTAAAGACGAACCCAATCTTTCATTTCGCCAGTAGCAGAGGCCAACTCTATTCCCTCTGCTTTCAAATCCTTCCTCTTTCTTTCCTCATCTTATTACGTAGGATTTGAGGAGAGGGGAAGACCCAGCAGCTAGAGGCTGAGCTTTCCACTTCTGGAAGGCCTAAACACAGCCCCACTGGTCACTTTTAAACCACTGTGGGGCTGGTGCCTTCCTAGCGGCCATGGCAATACCCCCGTCCTGGCGAGCGAGCAGACTTTTTACTTCTGCAGGGTTATCCTGGGTTATGGGGATTCAGCAATCCTCCAGAAGTCCTTTCCCGTTTTGTAATTCTGTCCTCATCCACCTTCCTCCTTTATCACTTGTGAAGCAAGGACTTTGGATAATATTTGTTTCCTTTTATCCATCTTGCAGTGGGTTGAATACTGTCCCCCCCAAAATTGATGTCCACCATAAATCTTAGAAGGTGGCCTCATTTGGAAATTGGGTCTTGCAGATGTAATTAGTTACGTTGAGGTCATACTTAACTCACGTACGACCTAAAATCCACTAAGATCCTAAATCCAGTTCCGTGTCCTTATAAAAGGCCAGGGGGAGACACAGAGACAGACAGGGAGGAAGGCCACGTGGTGATGCAGGTAGAGCTGGTCAAGGGAAAACTAGGGCCGCCGGCAGCCGCCAGAAACGGGAAAAGGCGCAGAAGCGTGCTTCCCTTGAGCCTTACGTGGGAGTACGGCCCTACCGACACCTTGATCTCAGACGTCTGCCTTCCAGAACCATGAGAAAATTAATTTCTGTTTTTTTTTTTTTTTTTGCGGTACGCGGGCCTCTCACTGCTGCGGCCTCTCCCGTTGCGGAGCACAGGCTCCGGATGCGCAGGCTCAGCGGCCACGGCTCACGGGCCCAGCCACTCCGCGGCACGTGGGATCCTCCCGGACCGGGGCACGAACCCGTGTCCCCTGCATCGGCAGGCGGACTCTCAACCACTGCGCCACCAGGGCAGCCCCAATTTCTGTTCTTTTAAGCCACCCAGTTTGTGGACTTGTTATAGCAGCCCCAGGAAACGAATATAATCCGATACTTTAATTTCTGCTTTGTGTTACATTTAGGCTTATGAATATTAAGCAAATACAATTAAAAATGAATTATTTAAACCTTTACTTCATCAGTGTTCCACTTACTTTCTGTAACAATAGATAGCATTCTCTGTATCCACCAATACTACAAGAATAGTGTTTGGGTTAACCCCAAGTTTCTAGCAAAAAAAGCCTATCTCAGCAAGGCACCTTCAAAGCTTCCTCAGCAATGTTCTAGAATGCCGCAGGCATTCCCAGACAATTCAGAGACTCAAGGGAGAATATCGTTTCCTTATTTGAGTGTTATTTATCTCGGTCATATGCAAATAAGTAAAAAGTTCTTTAGACGAGAGTTACTGAACAGTATCGTTTGGCACAGAAATTAGTAAGAAGACACCCCTAATTTAGGAACAAGGAAACGAGGCATACTGTGTCTCTCCAGAGCACCCTAAAGGAGGGCCACGATGTCAGTAATGTTATCACTGACCGCTTGGTTTAGGGGCTTTCTGCGTGGTCGCCCCTCAGAGAAGCTACAGTTTTTCCCTCTAGTAGTCAATAAGGAGTTTGTGGGTACGTACTTTGAGGTTACATAGATATCCTGTTCCTCCAACCTTCCCCCCGTCATGTGTGTCCATTGATGATCCTTGCCTAAACCAAGCAGCTCAGATGGTTTCAGATGGCGATGTTCCAGCTTGGACACTCCCGCTCTACTTAGTGGCTGGCATTCTACTGTGGGAAAGAGCTTTCCTTCCTCCCATTTATGCATCATTTAGTTATAGCAGAATGGACTCACTGGATTCTTGTTTTATTCAATGGGCTATAATCCATTACTGATATAATTTATTTCAAATCTCATCCCAGATTGGGCCAGTGAGCGCCCCTTCATTTTTAAGCACTTTCTTATTTTTTGGCACAAGATATTCCAGGCTCATCTCACTTTCCCTGCCCAGTGCTGACCCAGCCTCCAAGGATGCCTGACTGGCTCCTTCAGTGGAAAACGTTACAGAGAAACTGAGATCCAGCACCGGGTGTGCTCACTGCTGCCGGGGTGTTACTGTTCCCAGGGCCCCTCAGCGGGCAAAGAGAGGGCATTTTACATACACGCACACACGACCCCCCCCATACATACACAACACACACACACACACACACACACACACACACACACTACATATACACACATCACACACACAGCTCTTCTTGATATCTTTAATTCCAACCCAACACCACATGGTTCATTCTGTCCCTCCTCCCCCCACCACCAATATTCGTAACTCCTTTCCCATCAGCGAGAAGCTGTCTCTCTTCTGTGTTATTCCTGACAAAGATGCATAATCTGAATCTAACCACGAAGAAATGCCAGACACACACACACAAAACAAGGGACAGTCTATAAAATAAATGGCTTGTATCCTTCAGAAATGGCAAGCTCATGAAAGACAAAGGAAGGCCAAGAAACAGTTCCAAATTAAAGGAGACTAAACCCACAGGGCAACTAAATGCAAAGTGTGGCCCCAGAAGACATCCTGGCCCAGGGAAAAAAAATCTATAAAAGACATTATTGGACATTTGATATAATTTTGAGTATGGACTGTGGATTAGATAATAGCATTATATCTGTGTTAAACTTGCTTGTTTTGATCTTTGTGTGCAGTTATATGAAAATGTCTTGTTCACAGGAAGCACACAGTGATGTATTTAGAAATAAAAGGGCATAAATGTCTTTAACTTGCTTTCAAATGGTTCAGGAAAAAATGTGTGTGTGTATATGTACATCTACACACACACACACACACACACACACAGATGAGAGAAAGTAGGGGGAGAAGCAAATGAGGACAAATGTTAAGAATTTGTCTGCCAGTTGAACCTGCCCCCCCATGGCTGGACCAGAGGCGATTCACCATTCCCTCTGCCCTACGTTCACTCAACTCAAGACGGAAAGTCCCAAGAGAGAGAGGCCCATAGCCCACCTTAGGTCCTCTCCTGCCTCCTGCTGGACCTGGGCTACGGCGGAAGGTCACGGGGCTACCATAACGGGATGGAAAATCCTGAGACTCACCTACCTATCACACCTGCAAACAAAGGAGGGAAGTCAATTCCCCAAAGGAAATCAAAGTGCTGTTAGGAAGAGGCAACGCATGCTGGGTAGAAAAACATAAAAAATGTCCTTCACAGGAATGTTAGAAGAAAAGCTAATTCTCTTCTTTTACAGCTAAGGAAGCTGAGATCTAGAAAGGTTAAATAACCTTTCAAGGGTCAAAGAGCAAGTTTGAGGTAGAGATGGAATAGAAATGAAGACAAATATGCTATCTCCTTGCAACTCACAGTGTGGTCTATGGACGCAAAGCACCGCATCACCTGGGAAATGAAGACTCTCAGTCACCACCCAGATCTACTGAGTCAGAATCTGCATCTTAACATGTTTCGGGTGATTCCCATGCACACTAAAGTGTGAGAAGCACCGTTCTATCTCTGTAGGTCTCAACCTTAAAAAAGAAATAGAATTTGTGATTATAAGAGTTCTACAGGAGCTCCTGGTAACATTCTTATTTCCTTCTGTGAGTTTGAAATTGTATCAAAATAAAGTTTCAAAACAAGGGAAAGATAAACACCCGCTAAATAAAAGGGAACCACTTGTGGCTAGATTAGCAGTAGACGGGAGATGAGTTGACAAGCGAACTGCTGTGGAAAGAGCCAGATGTCTGAGGTCACACCTGAGATCCTGTGGGCGCTCCACCCACCAGCCTGGGCCTGAGAAGCTGCAAAAGGTGTGGAGGCCAAGAGTGCGCTGGTGAGACGGAGCTGAAGGGATTCAGAACACGCTGCTGCAGCATCAACGTTATTTTGAGCAGAAGACACGTGAGTCCTGAAATCTCTTATCTGCCTAAAAGCAGAGCCTCTGAGAAAGAACTCAGCTGTCATAAATCCTCCCCTGGGAGCAGCCAGGAGAGACCGAGTCTGAATGACAGGAACGGGATGTGCCCACATCACACCTAAACAGACATTGTCACAACAGTATCCTAGCTCTCAACTAGTCTCCTAAGGGCACATTTACCTTTCCAAAAAGTTACCTGTTTTCCAAAAACTGCCCTTCTCTTGCCCCTCTTCCCCTATTAAGATGGTATACAATCCCCAAATTCTAAGGCCCCCTGGAGTCACGTTTTTCTGTGAACTCCCACACATATGTGGTTAAATCTGTCTTTTCTCTTGTGAATCTGTTTTTCTGTCAGTTTAATTCACATGCCCCCAATCATTCAACCTAAGAGGGTAGAGGAACAATTCTTCCTTCCCAACAGAGATCAGCAGGGGAGAAAACCCACTGAGAGTGTGGGTTAGAGACTAGACAGCCCAGCTCTGCACGCCACCCTCACCATCCGCCTGCTCCAAGGACTGTGGGATTCACGAATCTCCTGTGAGAAAGATTCTCAGAGCACACCAGGTGCTCTCAGAACAGAAAGTGATCTGCGTGTAACTTGTTCAGATTTCATTTTCTCTCTGAAAGTCCTGACCCAGCGAGGCCACTCACTAAGCTCAGAGCTAATATACTTATTTCACCCACAGCCATTTTATTATCCTGCCAGCAGTCAGTGGTCATATTTCTGTGGGTGGGGGCCAGGATTATCTTCAGTGGACCAGAAAGCACTGAAAACCTCGAAGGTTTTCAGTCTGTCTGTCACTGCCAGAACCAAAGATGGACAACTCAGCCGTGTTCCTGGTCACCGCTTCCACCACCAATAAACCATTCAACAGTTATGGGGAGGCTGGTCATCCACGTGTGTTTCATCGTGAAACTGGGGGCAGGGGGCACTGGCTGCATGGAGGCACCGTGTCCAAGGACTTACCACTGATCCCTGGAGAACGAGACGATGAAGCGAATGCCGGGGGGAAGTGGGGCCATTTACGTCTCACTGACCGTGGAGCTTCAGTCACGAAATAAGATGCTTCATAGATAGGTTCTTAATCCTGGGAAGCATGCAGGGGTGTCCTGTGGGGGGTCTCGCCTCCCCTCTTCCTTCCAGCAGAGGCTCGGCTCTCTACAAGGAGAAGGAGGGGTGGAAAAGTCAAGTGTTCTGACAATGGCACCGTCGGAGGCCCTGGCGGAAGTAACCGCATGTGGTGTGGTCACCCAGCCCACAGCAGAGCTGGACTTCCCTGCAACAGGGCGCTCCCACCACGAGAGCCACGAGGTAGGGGTAGAGCCTCCGTCCTGGGGTGGGGTGGGGGGCAGCTTGTTCAAAGGTCACTGAAATGAACTTCACATGATGTGTAAGAAAGAACCACTGATTACAGAAGAGCTAACACTTGTCCTTCTCAAACTCTTCCAGAATACAGCAGAGGGAGGAACACTCCCACACTCATTCTACGAGGCCACCATCACCCTGATACCAAAACCAGACAAGGATGTCACAAAGAAAGAAAACTACAGGCCAATATCACTGATGAACATAGATGCAAAAATCCTCAACAAAATACCAGCAAACAGAATCCAACAGCACATTAAATGGATCATACACCACGATCAAGTGGGGTTTATTCCAGGAATGCAAGGATTCTTCAGTATACGCAATTCAACGTGATACACCATATTAACAAATTGAAGGAGAAAAACCATATCATCTCAATAGATGCAGACAAAGCTTTCGACAAAATTCAACACCCATATATGATAAAAACTCTCCAGAAAGTAGGCACAGAGGGAACTTACCTCAACATAATGAAGGCCATATATGACAAACCCACGGCCAACATCATTGTCAATGGTGAAAAACTGAAACCATTTCCACTAAGATCAGGACCAAGATAAGGCTGCTCACTCTCACCACTATTATTCAACATAGTTTTGGACGTTTTAGCCACAGCAATCAGAGACGAAAAAGAAAGAAAAGGAATCCAAATCAGAAAAGAGGAAGTAAAACTGTCACTGTTTACAGATGACATGATACTATGCATAGGGAATCCTAAAGATGCTACCAGAAAACTACTAGCGCTAATCAATGAATCTGGTAAAGTAGCAGGATACAAAATTAATGCATAGAAATCTCTTGCATTCCTATACACTAAGGATGAAAAATCTGAAAGAGAAACTAAGGAAACACTCCCGTTTACCACTGCAACAAAAAGAATAAAATACCTAGGAATAAACCT